GGAAAACCCACTGGGTGACCAGTGGGGTTGCGTTCTTTTCTGATGATGTCCAGCGGCCGGTGTTTAGCATTTTGAGACTAACACCCTTTCTTAATTTATATGACGAACTGGTGCAAGGGTGCATATCAGGCACAAAATTTCCCGTCGGGTAACGTGGGTATCCACATGATTAGATCTATACACCCAAATTAATTTTTGAAATTCATAGCTCATCTCAACTGATAAAGTCAATACTGAATAAAAAAAAAGAATACGATTACAGACACACAATATGGGTGAGGATAGATCATATAAGAAGCAGAAAGTAGAAGAATCGAAGGCGGAGGAAGTGGCCGAGGCTGCAGAGGAATCGTTGAGATTGCATCCACATCCTAGGGAACGCACACCTTTAGTGCACCACGATGATGGTGAATTTTCCAACCTTACGAGGCATACAACGACATCGTTACAGGCGGCCAAATTGGAGGATGGTCCAAAGAACCCGTTCAGCGGGAAGCAGCTTAGCTCCAAATACTTTGATATCTTGAAAGTGAGAAGGGATTTGCCGGTGCATGCGCAGAGAGAGGAATTTTTGAAAATGTTTCAAAGCACACAGATTATGGTGTTTGTAGGTGAGACTGGTTCGGGTAAGACGACCCAGATCCCTCAGTTTGTACTCTACGATGATATGCCCCATTTGATGGGCACGCAAGTGGCATGTACGCAGCCTAGAAGGGTTGCAGCCATGTCTGTGGCCAAGAGAGTTGCCGATGAGATGGATGTTGAATTGGGAGAAGAAGTGGGTTACAGTATTCGTTTCGAGAACAAGACAAGTAACAAAACCATATTGAAGTATATGACTGATGGTATGTTATTAAGAGAGGCCATGGATGATCATGATTTGACCAAGTACTCATGTATAATATTGGATGAAGCGCATGAAAGAACGTTGGCCACCGATATTTTAATGGGTTTGTTGAAGCAGGTGAGTGTGAGAAGACCAGACTTGAAGATTATTATTATGTCTGCTACTTTGGATGCAGAAAAATTCCAAAACTATTTCCACAACTCTCCATTGTTAGCTGTCCCGGGTAGAACATTCCCTGTTGAGATCTATTATACCCCTGAGTTTCAAAGGGATTATATGGAGGCTGCCATCAGAACAGTGTTACAGATTCACGCTACCGAGGATGAAGGTGACATCTTGTTGTTCCTTACTGGTGAAGAAGAAATTGAAGATGCCTGCAGAAAGATTGCCTTAGAGACCGACGAATTAATTAGAGACCAAGACTGTGGTCCCTGTACTGTTTACCCATTATATGGTTCATTACCACCTCACCAACAGCAAAAGATTTTTGACCCTGCTCCTGAACCTTTCAGACCTGGCGGAAGACCGGGTAGAAAGATTATTGTTTCGACTAACATTGCCGAAACTTCGTTAACCATTGACGGAATTGTCTATGTGGTTGACCCTGGTTTCTCCAAGCAAAAGGTTTACAATCCAAGAATCAGAGTTGAATCGTTATTGGTGTCGCCAATTTCAAAGGCATCTGCGCAACAAAGAGCTGGTAGAGCTGGTAGAACTAGACCTGGTAAATGTTTCAGATTATATACAGAAGAGGCGTTCCAGAAGGAATTGATTGAGCAATCGTACCCAGAAATCTTGAGAAGTAGTTTGGCATCCACTGTGTTGGAATTAAAGAAATTAGGGATCGATGATTTGGTTCATTTCGATTTTATGGATCCTCCAGCGCCTGAAACCATGATGAGGGCTTTAGAAGAATTGAATTACCTACAATGTCTTTCAGATGAAGGTGATTTAACCGCATTGGGAAGAATGGCATCACAATTTCCATTAGACCCAATGCTTGCAGTCATGTTGATCGGATCACCTGCATTCAAGTGTTCCAACGAAATCTTGAGTATCGTTGCATTATTATCGGTGCCAAATATCTTTGTGCGTCCTGCATCAGCCAGAAAGAGAGCAGACGAATGTAAGTTGGCGTTCGCCCATCCTGATGGTGACCATTTGACTCTTTTGAACGTCTATGAAGCGTTCAACTCAGACGAGGCTCACAATTTGGGCTTGCATCAATGGTGTCGTGATAACTTCTTATCGTACAGATCTTTGTTATCCGCCAGAAGTGTCAGATCTCAATTGCAAAGAATTATGGAAAGATACGATTTGGAGCTTGTTTCCACCGACTTCGAAGATAAAAGCTACTGGACAAACATCCGTAAGGCCCTCGCAGCCGGGTTTTTCATGCAAGTTGCAAAAAAGAAATCGGGAAATAAGGGTTACTTGACCATCAAAGACAACCAGGACGCATTAATACACCCTACCACCGTGTTGGCCTCCGAAAGTGAATGGGTCATCTACAATGAATTTGTCTTGACATCCAAAAACTACATCAGAACCGTCACTTCGGTGAAACCTGACTGGCTTGTTGAATTGGCCCCTAATTACTACAACTTGGAGCACTTTTCAAAGGGTGACGTCAAATTATCCCTCGAAAGAGTTATAGACAGAGTACAAACCATGAAAAAATTAGAGAAGAAAAAATCAAAGAAATCTAAAAAATGATTGTAACCATACCGGCGTATATTCTATAGATTAATAAATCCATTTCAGTACAACTCTTTATATACCATTCAATACATTCTCGCAGTACGTATACAGAAAAGCATACTCGATCTCTCAGCATCCATACAATGTTCTACGGCGTATTACCACCTCAGCTGCACCATGAATTTACTCGTTTAAGCTAATCGACCAGTTTAGCGAGTTACTCGATTAGTTTAGGTAAGCGCGTTCATGAAAAATAAAAGCTAACAGTACGCCTAAATTTCAACCATTTATTCTAAAGTATAGCTCTATTTCAGGTGGAAAGTATAGACTCAAGACATTTTAAAGGAGAACGTTCAGACATAATTGTATTGAATAGCTGGGAATTTCGAAACAGTTATTGAAACAACATTATACCCTAATTTACACGTCTATTACATTTCGGACATAATATAAAATATAAGCAAATATACTTGAAGATGGGATTATTAATGGTATGTAATTGGATGACAATAGACATTAAAGAATACATGGACCAAGAGAAGGTAAATACTAACAAAGAGTAGTCAAAGCTTTTCAAGAATCGTGAAATGAGAATATTGATGCTAGGTCTTGACAATGCAGGGAAAACCACGATATTGTATAAGTTGAAGTTGGGAAAAGCATCGACAACAGTACCCACGGTCGGTTTCAATGTTGAGACCGTGAAGCATAAGAATGTGTCATTTGCAGTTTGGGATTGTGGTGGACAAGAGAGAATTAGACCATTATGGAGACATTATTTCACCGGAACGAATGCATTGATATACGTCGTGGACTCATCCGATCACGCTAGACTCGATGAGTCAAAGACAGAATTGTTGCGGGTCATCAGTGATAAAGAGTTATCCGAGTGTTTACTTATAGTTTTGGCAAATAAGCAGGACGTTCCTGGGGCCACCAAGCCCAAAGAATTAATCGACAGGTTTGATTTACACAACTTGCCAGGACAGCATACGTGGTCAGTGATACCTACTGTTGCCACAGATGGTACGGGTTTGATCGAAACTTTAAACTGGATCTCGAAGCACGATACCTGAACCGACACGAACACCTTCATTTCTTACAATATGCGTAATAGACTGTATAGTTTGTATATTAAATTGTTTTATAACCATGTAATAATATAATACGCTGCTTCACGCAGCATATACCTACAACCTACAGTTTCCCCTAAGTTCATTCATACACGTCATTACTTTGACCAGCATTTGACTTCCCCTGCTTCCTCTCCAAAGTACGTTTTGTCGGCCATTTGCACAAACAATCCGGTTTCTACCACCCCGACCAACTGCTTGATGTCAGTGTGCAATCTGGCAGGGTCTGCTATCTCGCCGAAATCGGCATCGATCAAAAAGTTATTATTATCGGTTACCACTGGTCCTGCCTTGGCTGAACCCCCCTGTCTTAATTCAACTTTCGTTGCGCCCATGGCTTCCAAGTCCCTGGACACCTTGGCATACGCACATGGCACAATCTCAATAGGTACTCCCTTTCTCCATTGTATCCCCAACTTCGAGGGCGATCTCTTACGGAAATCGGCCACAATCACAAACTTACTAGCAGCAGCGGCCACCAACTTCTCCTGGAAAAGACATGCCCCTCCTCCCTTGATCAAATTCAACTCCGTATCCACCTCATCGGCACCATCGAACGCAATATCCACCGCAGGGTACTGTTCGATCGTTCCCAATCTCAATCCCGCATCAATGATCAACTGTTTCGACTGGAACCCCGTAGGAACGCACACAAACGACTCCTTGTTCTTCAATTGACTTATTCTTTCAGCAACATAAATTACCGTCGACCCTGAACCCACACCAACCACCTTGGCTCCTTCCGGGAAATTCTCATCCACCGCCTGGTATGCGGCACTTTTCTTAGCTTTTTCTACCAATGATGCTCCACTAGACATGTTTCGAATGTATCTGGCGCTTATTATCCGTTTTAGCATATATATGGTTCCTTCTGTCTTGTAAATACCGGCCAGTATATTATGGCTGAACACCAGTTACTACTGGTGGGATGCGAGCACGAGCCAGAAATCATATTCCTGCAGATAATATCCCCGGAATAATCTGGTGCATTGATCTAATGGGTGATAGGGTCCAATCGGCAATTACTGCAGACAATCTCAACAAAATAGCAGTCACAGGAATCACATGATATAGTGTCCGTTTTGGTGCTCATCGCACCAATTTTGATCATTCGACACGATAATATCGTTTTGTGTAATTTTTCACCAAGCGGTGCGAAATTTGGAAAATTTTCTCAATACACTGTGAGTAGCTCGATTGGGTTACACTCTAACTGTCTGGAGCAAATTGTATAGACAAAAAAAAAAGAATCGAAAGTTACAAAATTTGTTAATACTAAAGGTTTGTTTAGGATCCACCAGAAATACCATCAGTAAAACATGTCTGCTGCTAGCAAAATCTTATCTGAAAAGCCAAGTGAATTAGAGTTACAAGTCGCTCAAGCTTTCGTTGACTTAGAAGGTCAATCCGACTTAAAGGCCGAATTGAGACCATTACAATTCAAGAGCATCAAGGAAATTGATGTCAACGGTGGTAAGAAGGCCTTAGCTGTTTTCGTTCCATGTCCATCTTTAGCAGCTTACAGAAGAGTTCAAACCAGATTAACCAGAGAATTAGAAAAGAAGTTCCCAGACCGTCACGTTGTTTTCTTAGCTGAAAGAAGAATTTTACCAAAGCCATCTAGAAGATCTAGACAACAACAAAAGAGACCAAGATCCAGAACTTTGACTGCTGTCCACGACAAGATCTTAGAAGACTTAGTTTTCCCAACCGAAATTGTTGGTAAGAGAGTTAGATACTTAGTTGGTGGTAACAAGATCCAAAAGGTCTTATTGGACTCCAAGGACTCCACTGCTGTCGACTACAAGTTAGACTCATTCCAACAATTATACCAAAAATTAACTGGTAAGCAAGTTGTTTTTGAAATCCCAAGTGATGTTTACTAAATGGATCCAATTATTAGCAAGGGAGAGAGAATTATGTAAATGTGTGTTTAATTATTATAATATTATTTTATTTTAAAGAATAAAGGTTGGGATAGATGCCTTTTATATAATTTTTTTCTTAATATTTGGTATATATCATTCTTCACATATATATAAAATCGTTCTGAAGTTGTATTAATGTTTTGCTTATTGTATTGCCTATTGTAATATCGATGTATATCGTGTAGACTACATGCTAAATATATTATTACACTTGGTGATATGCTATTGAGGGGTTTGGATTATAATATTTACGCTTCCTTAACATAACTAGTTGGGAACATACCAGTTACCCCGTTTAACTCCCCCTCGGTCCACCCACTGCCGTCTGTATCGGCTTGAACTAACGCAATCTTATCTCCAGCAGTTATAGTCAATTCATCATCTCCGTCAGCTTGGTAGTCGTATAATGATTCTACGTATTGGACCCTTTTCGCACCACGTTTTGGTGCAACAGAAGGCCCTTTCTTCTTACCACCACTGTTGATACTAGGAGCTGCTGGTGTTCCCATAGTAACCTCTATATATGCGGTAGGCACAAGACCCTCACTACCTTGGTTGGTACGAATCATTGTCCACCCTGACCCGTCATCTTCATCCACAACATCAAATTGTTCACCAGGACTAATTGACGCTTCATCATCACCAGTTGCATCGTACTGGTACAACGCTTTACCCTTCGGTCCAGTTGATGCCGATGATGCATTAGACTGTCCTCTGTTTCTTCTTAGGCTGAAAAGTCCTGCGTGTGACTTTTGACTAGTGCCCGATTTCACTGTGTGCAATGAATGAGTATCCGAGCTGTTATCATTAGCAACAGCACCGCCGCTGTTGTTATGCTTCTTGCCTCTCAAGAATCCAAATTTAGACTTCTTCTTTTCTCTCACTTCGACGTATGATAGGTCCTTATCTCCAGCAAAATTTTGAATCACCTCAATTTCCACCTCATTTCTAATTCTTTCACTATCAGTCTTCAAAAACCTTTGCAAAAGCAGTAATGAATTGTTCAACTTAGTGTCAAACTTCAAAGTCAAATTGGCCAACTCTGCTTTACGTGATGCCGTCATTTCTTCTAAACTTTGTTTACTTTCGATGCACAGATCTTCGTACTTTCCAATATCACTAGAACAGACATTCAATCTTCTTTTCAATTCTGTAAGCTCTGGTTCCTTAGTTATTAAGCTTTCATCGTCGTGCCAAATAGAGCAAGGAATAAAGTAGAAGTCCTGGGGTTCTTTCCAATCGAATGCATTGTGCTTGATGAACATTGCCACATCTAATTTCGGGTTATTTTGATCGATTGTGGAATCTATAATATGTAATTTCTCCTTAATACGATCATTGGAGTTTCTTTCTATTATGGAAGCATTTTTTAATAACTTATTCAATAAGCCAACACGACTTTCATTAAGTTCTTGGAAATAATCCAACAATTCCGGAACATCTTGATAGAAATACTTATCTTTTAATCTATTGGCAATATTGATCTTGATCAAATATTCATTCTTTCCGATATTCATGGCAACTTCCTTTTCTTGCAACTTTTGCTGGTGTTTCTCACTGGAAGATTTCTCTGTTTTCTGTCTTGCACTCTCTGTAGATTCACATAAAGAGTCATAATGTTTCTTGGCTTTATTAACTTCATCCTCTGTTTTGGTTTTTTCTGATACTAAATATTCGTCTATCGATTCTATCTGTTTCGCTATTCTGCCCGTCTTATTCTTCAACAGCAGAAAGTTGTCTCCGAGCTTCGTGTTAATCTCCCTACTGAACAGAACCTTCTCCTCCGCAATTGCTTCTGTCTGAGTCAACACCTCGTTCCAAAGTACTAATGACGCACTTTCTAACGATCCAGGCGTGATCTGGGGTTCGTCTCCAACAGACAACAGGGTCGAATTCTTTGCCTTTTTCTCGAAATGCTTTTTGCATAGTTCCAGCAACTTCGATGCATACTCCTTCTCAATCGTTGCCCGTTCACGGTAAAATTCTTCGATATCATTGATCCAATTGATCCCATTATTTACCCATTTGGATGTAGGTTTAAATGAATCCTTCAAGTCATTTCCAATAGAAACCTCCTGAAGCGACATATTCTTTTATTTAGATTAAACTCAATATTCTTAGCTATCCTGGAATAATCTAAACCTCTTATTATACTCGGTTTTACTACCCTTTTTCTTCAAATCAACTTTTGCTCCACCTTCAACTCCTAAGTCAATCGTCACGGTAGGAGTATCCTCGATAAATGTCGTAAATTATATACAAATGTCGTGAAATAATTAGAAATTTTGCACCCAGTATTAACCACTTTCATTGGTTTGTAACTCAACAACCGCTATTGGCATAGTTATACACGGAAATTTGCTTCCTCTTTTCGATGGCTATTCAAAAAAATCGATATTAATTCCAATTTCATTAGGGTCTGGAAAAAATTGGTAAATAATGTCGTAATCCTGTATATACCGTTAGCATCAAACTTAGGAACTAAGCAATATAAGTATTAATACTATAGATGGTATAGAAAATCAACTGATTTTGGTCAATTAGCTAGTGGTTGCCATACTCAGTCATATCCGTTTATTAGCAATACACTGTGTTGTTTATTCCCATAAATTTTAAAACTCAAAATTACTGCATTGAGGGGCAAACGTAGTTTACTTAAACTGGCCTCAGTGTTTCTTCTTAGAAGGCTATTCCCACGTCTGGCTAAAAGGAGACCATCTTATTCGAAATTAACGGCTCTTGGTGATATTTACAAAGAATACAAGGCGTTGAAAAGACAACATCCAATAAAGATTGAGCAGCTGCAATTAGGGTATCAATCCAGGAAATTCAAACGCAGTACGAAGATGATGCAACGAAATGGATCTCCACCGGACACAAGTCGTGAACAACCTGAGTCTCCTACGCCACAATCACCCAATTTATCGAGGAGACAAAGATTACTAGGACTTGCAAAGGCTACGAGGGATAGTTACATGCCTAGGATCTCACTGATTGCCTCTGGGGTCTCCAGTAGAGCGTTGGGTGGTGACTACTATGATGAAAACGGTAATGTTAGGCTTCCAAAAGATGCTACTATCACGTTGTTTCCAGCGTATACCAGAAAAACTGAAGATGGTAAATATCATGTCGACGTAAAAGGCTGGCTCTCGTGTCCTGGGGTAATGTCTAGAAAAAACCGGTTGATTCTATCGCTAGCCAAGCAAATTACTCGTTATAGCTCTAATCCTACAACGGCAAAACAGGCAATTAACGAATTGGAAAATGACAGGCTTGAGCCTGATGTGATTACTCCAAGTGATGATGCATCGTCTGATTTGGAGTCAATAAATTCTAAAGATTCGTCTATTAATACTATTTCGCAAAATGAAAATAAGCCACTTCAAGCTTCTGTTACAAACTTGTCCGTGCGAAGTAGCACTCCGAGCTTTAATGATGATCTACTAAAAGAAAGATTGAGCAATTTTATTGCAAGATCTATTGCAAGTGCGGAGCTAGTGATTCTGATTGGATCTCAGGATAGGTTGGATCTTAATGAATTAGAGCATAATAGTGTTATCACTGATGGTTATGGGCATTTTGAAGCATGTGTGGAAGTAAATTATGAACCATCGGTAATCCAAGTCAAAGCAGCTACTGATGAAAGCATCTTCTCTTTCCAGGATATTATGCTTATCCCCAGTGAAGGATTAGGATTAATTAGTGATATCGATGACACGATTAAATTAACGGGTGTCACTGGTGACAAAAGAGAATTAATGAGAAACTTATTGCTAAATGATGTTACTCTGTGGAACATTCCTCCAGTAGTTAAGTGGTACAGTCAATTATATGACCATAAGTGTATCTCTTTTCATTACGTCTCAAATTCTCCATGGCAGCTATTTTCTAGTATACACAAATATTTCGAAGAAGTAAAGCTACCATTAGGATCGGTACATTTGAAACAATATACTGGAAGCTTTATATCCTCCTTAATGGAACCATCGTCTTCGAGGAAGAAGAGAGCTTTGTCAAAAATTGCGGAGGATTTCCCAAAGAAAAAATTCATATGTGTTGGTGATTCAGGTGAACACGATTTAGAGGCATATGCTGATTTAGCTAGAAGTTATCCCTCGCGTATTATAGCCATATATATCCGATGTGTTGAGGATTCCTTATCCGATATTGATGATAAGAAAATTTTGAAAGAACTTACTAAACTTACATCCAAGACAAAACCAAAAGCTATTTCTAAAAATCTCTCATCAAAACCTAACGATGGGATTGAAAATTTAATCGATTTGACAGATGACACACCACTTTTTGCAGCTGACCGGTCAAAGAAACTCCCTCCTATGATACCGCATAAACCGTCAACATTGCAAGGAAATAAGTTAGGTAGAAAGCCCCCTTTACCGATTCGTGATGAATTAAAGAAATCGCATACAGACACTGAACTTGCACATTCGAATTCCACGGATTCTACTTCATCGAATGGAAAAGAATCATCTTGGAAGGATTTAACTGGAATACAGAAAGATTCTGACGATAACCCTCCTCCTACGCCGCTTAGAAGACCAACGTCTTTTACTTCCAAAGCAAATGCTGAAGGCTTTACAACTGCGTCGGATCATGATTATAATGTCTTTGATAATTTGCAGGATGTTTATGATACACATAACTATTATGAATTGGAAGATGTTGACAAAAAAGGGGCTCAATGGATTAGAAGAGTTGTCACTTCATTGGAAGCATTAGAGGGCACTGACACGAAGATAAAGTTCTTTACTGATGATGAGCATGATTTTTTCACCAACAGTATAGATATAGTAAAGGATTACTTACATAGAAATAATAGTAATTAATGTTTTCTCTTAGAGACCGGATGTGTATCGGAAGATTATATTCGTATTATACATAACAACAAATTAGTTGTAGGATTAAAAAGGTAACCCAGCCTTCTATTAACTATCAATAAACAAATCTAAGCCTGTGGCTCTTCTTCATTCTCATTCTTGGTTTGGCTTCTCTTCGAAATCTACATTACCATCGCCATAATCCTTAAAACTGTCTTCTGTTTCAGGCAAATTCTTTCTAAATTCAGATAAATCCCATTCTGTACCTTGGTCAGTATTATCTTCTTCTGTGTAAAATTTGTCGGCAAATTTGTTTAATATGATTTCTCTTCCTGTTAATACCTTTTTACCATTTCTTTCTTCTTCTTTCTTCTTTTCATCTGCTTTCTTGGCTATTTGTTTTCTCTTCCAATCAGCAAATGTGTCTAACGTAATTGGAGTAAATTTGCTCTTGTCTAATTTACCTCTTTCTAATTCCAAAAATTCTTCCAAACTGATCTTAGGTGCTGATTCTGAGGCTAATCTCTCTAATCTCTTTTGTTCCTTTGTCTTCAATTCGAAACCTGGTGGTAAAGAATGTCTATATTTACATTCATTACCTCCATTAGGACAAACCCAAAACCAACCATACTTTCCATTTTCAACCGCATCAATAAAGTATTTACAGACTATATCGGTAGTAGTCTTTAAGTTACCATGCTTCGATAAAATGACCTTTCTTAATTTTTCTTCATCCCATTTATCCATCGTATCCTCTTCCTTCTCGGTTCTAGCATCAGTATATAAATCCTTCTTAAGATCTTTTCTTCCCACATTCAAGTCATGGGAAAACTTACATTTAGTACCTTTAGCACAGAGACCCTTTCTGAAAAATTCACATAAAACAGACTTTGGATCCACTCCAAATGGTACTTTTGGTTGTTGGATACCATATAATGCCGCGGTTTCTTTCTTAGCTTCTTCGGCTGCCTTCTTTTCGGCTGCCCTTCTTTTGGCTTCGGCTTCCTTTTTCTTCGCTAAACCACCATCTGCACCGGCCTCAATCTGGTTGATTTGGCCTTGGACCTTTTTAGATTTGTTTTTGTTTTTCAAACCGAAGGTCTTATCGCCAACTGCTTTGGTCTTTGCCTTAGCTTTATTCTTATCGGATATTTGGGGCTTCTTCTTAGGTGCCATGTCTAATTGAATAACTTTAATATAGAAGATAAATTTGCTGTACAACTTTTTTTTTTTCATACTCTGAAAAATTCGCTGACGTAGTAAAGAAATTTTCACGTGAATAAAATATTAAGTAAGAGAACTTTTATTAATATACACTATTCTGACTATTTATGTTAAGCGACCCTTTTTTTCCTGTCTTTAGACTTTTGAGTAGAGCGTTGGCCTGTTTGAGTTGAGCTGGATGGAGTAGACAGGTTACTTACGAGGTTCGCGTCAGCATGCTTATTGGAACCCCAATAATGATGAGGTACATTTGGGGAAGCTGTAGCACTGTTATAATTTGGTGAAAATCTATTTGCTTTCTTTGATTTCCTCTTGCTCCCACCAATTAAATTCTCAAACCTTGTAGGTGCTTCATTGATATTGGGACTAGATTCCATATTTTTAATAATTGGGGATTGTGCGTCGTCTTCATAAGGCGAAAGAGTTGAATTACTCAAGGATGGAGATTTGGGAGATAAAGTATACTCCGGATCAAATGTTGATGATGTAGGCATCTTTGGGGTAACGTAACTTTCATTTTTTGTCTTTATGGGGTGCTTACTGTGTCTGAAAGGGATGTATGATTTTTTATACATTGTCGATGCGCCGGGACTGACATGTTCACTTGCTCCAATCGAGTCTGCCAAATTATTTTTAAACGAAGTATTAGATTTAGTCCTTGCTAAACTTCTATTGAGAATGAGTGATGCCTTATTATCATAAACCTGAGGAGCAGAATCCATAAATGTTGTAGGATCACTAGAATTGCTATATTTCGTGTCAATCGAAGCACTATGAATATGATGGTTGTATGAATCCCGAACGGCTGCAAGAGTACTTATTGACACTGGGCCGTTCTGGTCTGTATCCTTTGTGAAAAAAGAATCAAAATCATCCAAAGCCGCCCACATGTTACTCAATGATGCATCGGGTTCCTCTACACTTGCTGAAGCAGCATCTCCATGATCAACAACAGGTGCATAATAATCTTCCATGTGGAATTGAATATTTTCGTCATCATCACTTTCTTCGTCATTTTCATCAACATATGTAGTTTCAGTACATGTTGAAAAAACGGCATGAACATTGTTACGAGTACTAGCTGCAGTGACAACTGGCATTGGAACTGCCCATCCGCTTTCTTCAGGAATACCAAACAAAGTAGCAGTTTTTTCATACTCCTTTTTCATAGATGAATTGCCTAAACTCATTCTTAATACATCTTTATCTAGCTGTGAGCCTGATATAATAACCGCCTCATCCAAAACTTCCAAAGCTGGTTCTGCATAATCGGTTAGTAATAGTCTTAATAATGGAGAAATTAGATCTGCGCCAACACCCACAAATTCATCTCTTTCTAAATCAACTAATGGGAAAATATGCTTCAACAAGTTCATCGTTTCTAGCTTTATCCATGGTGTCCTGTTAGATAAGAACCCTAAAAGTAGAACCAATACCTGAGCTTCATATTCAGGGAAAAATATGTTGTTGATAGACGACACCGTTTGTACTAAGAAATCTTTCTTCGATCTAAATCTGTTCTTTGATAATGAAACTAAAATTCTTGCTAATGCAGGTTTACCACAGTTATCGGCCATCTTACTTATGACATTTGCCGTTTCTTCGATATCCTTACTTATTGTCTTTTGGTCTAATGCATGTAAGAAACGAGGTAAGTTTGCAAGGACTGACATCAAGAGTCTGGAATCGCCTGTGCCGATAATCTCACTATCTTTCAAATGATTTAATTTATCAAGGAATTTCATTGAGGCTTCCCATGCAGTGGCTGAACGTAATCCAACCATAACTATTTGTTGTAAACCTTCAAACTTACCTTCCCACTTAGGTGGGAAAGTTGAAATCAAGCAAGATACAGTATCTGGCGCATCCAAATCGATTTTAGATACAAATTTCGACATCGTTGATAAAACCTCCACAAATTCCTGTTCGTGAACCGTACTTAAACACGCCACACTCGACCAAAATAATTGGGGGAAATCAATAAGCTTTTCCGAGTTTAATTCAGCAGTTATGGCATTCAAAGTCATAAGAATCTGCATCGCAAATCCCTGTATATCCAATGTCTCATCGGAAATTGTATTGGACAAACGATGCAACATATCCTTGAGCATACCTTGATCTAAAAACGAAAGTAGAGATCTGAATATTTGAAATGAACGACACGCAATATGTCTAACAGCACAAGTGGTTGCCCAATGTAACGACACTCTGCTCCAATCATCTTGAAGGGTAGGAACAACAGGCGTCAAAATCTCTAGGATATTGCGTGCTAATAAATCCATATTCTTTGGCGTTCTAGCGCCTTTTTTGTCATTGTTCAAATCGTCATAAACCCATAGATACTTGAAGTGGTCTCTTTGTCTAAGTGCTTCAATTGTTTCAGCCGATTTAGGTTCTTTAGGTGCCAATGTATGTATCAAGTGAATTAACAAAGAGCCTGCCAGTTCCTGTACAATATTTAAATAATGGTCCAATAAAGAAAAAGCCACATGCAATAAAAGAGGGAGACGTTCTATCATACGATCGTTCTGGATAGTGAAAACGTCAACCAAAAATACCATTGATAATTGCCCTGAAGAAAAAACTGCATCCTTTTCATTATAGGGTATAATGTCCCATAAATTTGAAATATAAGGAAATTCTGGTGAAGAAACAGGAGTTAAGTAGTTTGTTAGAGGTTGTGATGGTACCATTGCCTTAGGCTGTAGGTTCTCCATAAATTTGTCAACTATAGACACTGGGTTCGGCTGACAGAACGTTAAATAATCAACAATTTGACATGATAATTTAACCATCAATGGGTTTTTTCTTTCTAAGCAATTATTCATAATGAATTCAAAAATTTTGTCGAAGTTATTTAGATTACTTCCCAATGCTACCCATAAGGCCTCCACTTCGTTCAGGACTGACGAACTAAATTTGACGGTTATTTCGGTTAAATTATTTAGAACCATAACGGATGGTATATCTAATTCGTTGGTTAAACTTTTAGATTTAGAATTCTGATCAGGTAAATCCTGTGTATCTTCGGTATATTTCAATTCTATAGTCAGAATCCATGGCCGCAAACAAGTCAAAGTGTTTCTTTTGGACCAGTCATCAATGTCATCGAAAAACATTGTTAAATGACTGATTCTAATGTATGCACTCTCAGGATGTAAAGAAGCAAAATGGGTTGAAATGTCAAATAATGCTTTCTGATATACAAGCTTTGATTTGCTGCAAACACATTCCGAAAATGAATCAACAACGGAAGAATTATAAAACTTTTCTTCTAAGAATACTAGTAATCTAATGGCTGAAAATCTGACCTCATATTCTTCATGTCCAATCATTACTGTTGACAAACATATAATATCGAAGGGAATTCCATCAAACTGCTTAAATTTCATAACTATATCAACAAAAATTGTGAAAAAACTTACTGTTACCTTAGGTGATGATTGTCCTGAATAACATTGCCTTATAACTTTTTGATATACTTCGTCATTATTCAAGTTCAATTGAAGAATATTTTTGAGAGCCATCTCACCCATTTCATTTACTTTCTCATCATCAGAACAAATCAATGCACGAACCCAATCCATTAATTCTGGAATATCAAATGACATTACAGCAATCTTACCAACTACTTCTATCTTTTGCTTTATGGGGCCGGAGCACAAAATTGCCATAGTACTTAATGATGCAAATTGCAATGCTTTTTTCTCGACCTCAAGAATGGCTACAGTTGAAGTTGTTTCCTTCAATTGCTTCACCCTTTTAATCATGGTGTTATACCTATCTTCAGTTACGTCTGCGGAATCCCCAACACCGCACCACTCCTTTAAAAAATTGAAGCAACCTATTCTGGCTTCAAATGGTAACCATTTATCCAAATCTGAATTATCTTGTAGTCCAATAAATACATTTTCTAAAAATCCACAAAAATAACGACGTAACCTTTGAAATTCGACGTCAGTTTGTACTAAAGGAACAGACAAAAATGATTTAACATTCTTTATAATTGAAACTAGATTAGCAATCATCCACTCATCTGAGTAAATGAACACATCCGATTTGAACCGATTGGTAATATTACATAAAATGTGAATAACTTCAATTCTCAAGCGGTCTTCTGCTGCATCCCTTACTTTGCTATTTATATCCCATTCATTCACACTTTCAGGAAGATTTTCCAATAACGTCTTGAAAATATTTATATTAATACAAGTCAACCCTGAAATCACAGCATCTCTAACCATCGGTTGTTGTGATCTTAAAAATGGCAAAACCATCCTGAACACTGATTTAGCACTAGTAATCTTCTGGTGCTGAATAAACATTTGCATTGATTTCTTTCTGCCGTGGGTTGGTTGAGAGGGAAACGATATTTTCTGTTCATTTGTTGAAGTCAAAGAGCAACATGCAAATATTAAATAAAGTCTCCATTGATTTACTAATACTTCAGGAGGGATGTTTGTACTAGATTTCCCAAATAATGAGCTTGTATAATTTTTGTAACTTTCTGAAAACTCGAATACGAATTCATACATCTGAACCATTCGAACGCAGACTATGGAACGGCACATCGCAACAGGCATAGGACATCTTTCAAAAAAGATATCCAATAATTTAGGATAAAGTCTAAACCACAAAGTGGAGTCTATTCCATAATCTGATTCAGCTAATTTCACTAATATGTTCTTTTTATTTTTTAATTTTGTTAGACGACTTCGTTCTGGCATACTGAGTTCATTCTTGAAGGGTTTTATTAGCCCCAAGAAATCCGTATCTTCCAATACATGAATCAACCGTGTACCCACATCAGCTGCAAACTTAGAGGAACTTCTTGAATGGCCTTTGCTCAGTCCAAAATTAGTGTTACTTGTGGCACCGGCAGGTTCATTTTGCTTTTGAACAGTATCAGACATATTGTAAATTGCCTGATCGAATTGCTCCACCAATTTCAAGATAGAAATACCATAGTGCCTTGTTTGTGGGTCTTGTGAACAAAGGAAAAATAGTCCATTTCCTTCAATCTCTTCAATAACTGTGATAATTGTTTTCCACTCTAGCTCATCGCTCCGCTTAGCTTTAACAACGTTAGAGTTTGACAAATCCTCAGATTTATAGTTGATCTGATATAAATCATTCAAAACGTCTTTGTTCATCAATTCGTCATCTTGTGCCAATGGATTCGATGATTTCTTACTTGCTTCGTCCTCTTCAATTTTATTAAATTGTTTTAACCAACAACTGAGTAAATCTACATACACTTTCAATAATTTGTGTGACTCTGACGAATTCAAATAATCAGAATTATAATTTGGTCCTGGTTTATCACTAAATTGAAAGGCAAATTTAGCAAAAATAGTAATTAGACTATTAGGGTTTTTTCTGGACGCTAATTTCTTTAAGGATCCTAAAGCCGCTTTCGACACAACAGGATTTGCATGAACAACATTACGGGTTAATATATCTACCACATTTTTAAATGGTAAACCGCATGCCGATGATTTTTCACCATTAAATGGTACAAGTGTCCACAGTATGGCTTCTATTACTGTTGCAAATAATTCCATATGTAAGTCTTTCGTAGGCTGGTAAGAAAAGTCAATCCCAAAATGGAATGCAGAAAACGTAGCTTGTGACTTCGAGCTAGAGGATAATGGTGTAGACAGTGAGCTGCTATCTGATGACCAAATGTCGGAGCCGTATTGGTCATCCAATAGCTTTAAAAGTACAGCAAGATTTCGACATATCTCTTCATGAGAAAAAGCATTAGTTGAATTCTTTGCAATAAGCATGATTTCATTAGACTTGAATCTTTTATCTCTCAGTTTGACAGCCTTTAGTGTAGACGAAGCATTATGGTTTTGATTAACCGACAATGAGTTGAAAACATCATCTGTAGGAAAACATGGCTTATCTCCATGTTCATAATCTTCTAAAATCGTTAAATAACTTTTAACTACCAATATAATCTTCTCTGGATATGCATTTTCTAACGATATTCCGTTGAAACTAAGCTTTAACAACTTTGTTAATACATTATCCAACACATAATTCAAGTGTTGAAAACCAATAATCCTAATAAATTCGACTAAAGCATTTATTAAATTTTTGTCGGCTACCAACCACTGCTGTTTCTTACTAGTAGCGTTGCTGTTAAAAAATAGCAAATTGAATAAGTTGTCTAATTTCTTAATAGTATTGTTTAACGTATCATTTAACCGATAAATATACACCCAGACCAACCTAGCAACGCAAACAATAAAGGTAGACCTGTCGCTTGTTTCAACTTTTGGTTTTAATTTAAACATGTTATGCTCGATTATATCAAACCATGTATCAGAGAACAATTCCTTCCGAGATACAGATAAAGCTGAAGTCATCAAATGTATCGAATAAGCCCAGCTATTATTGAAATTAATAACATTATATGAGCTGTTAAGCTTGAGCTTATTAACCATTATATTTGAATTAATTGGCTTATTCACATTCTTCCATGTGAAACTAGCCTTATTATATATCTTTTCAATCGCCTCGACCCATGTTGGATGATTGGTTTCTGCTGTTAATATACTCGCTAAAGGTAATAGTAAGTTGCTTAACACTTCGCAGTATGCAAAAATTATGGATTCATTATTCGATTTCTCGAAAAACTTGGCCAATGATTGTATGAATTCAGCACTCTCTTCAAACGTCTCTAAAGGATAATTAGTTAACTTCAAATAGCTCATTCCTTGAATCAATAAATATAATTTTGGCTCATCTTCATGTTTTATTCTAGGTGGTATCCTCTCCAAGTTTGCAATAAATCTATCACTTACACTAAGAAATCTCTTTTCTGACATATAGCCAAGTAATTCAGCAAATAGATTCCAATTTGAAGATCTTACTAAAGATTCATTCTTACTAGTTGGATCAGTTGTTTTCAACTGAGTAAATACGATTTCTTCTAATTTATCACCAAGGTCATTACCCATAACTTCCGGAGATGCTTGTTTAACAACTTCAATCAAAACACGGCATAATATATAAATCAGAGCCAATGATTTACGATCAGCTTGTATAGCAGTTTCTCGTGCTTGAGTTATTTGGTCATCGTATATATTTCTTTGTTTAAAACGCACAGATTCAAGCAGCTTCCTTTGAGTAAGGCCTGGCGATTTCAATGTTGTTTGGTTAGACATTGTCGACGATGTAGATTGATTACGAGAATGTCCTGTCATTTTAGATATACTTTTTGTTCTCATTAAGCTTAAACTTCTTTTAGCTTTATTTCCCGTATTTGAATTCTTATTAATAACTGGATTGGATGTGGAGATGCTATCATTATGCTGTGCCTTAGATAAATTTGATTTTGCAGTAGATAAAATCTTTTCTACTTCTGACGCTGCCATAGAAGCTACTTCACTTTTCGATTTTCTCCAAAACATTACACTATCAATAACAGGTTTGGGTTTTCTCCTCGCAATGTAACCTAAAGAGGCTACAATTTTATCAAATTGGGGATCTACCCCTTCAGCCAATATTTCAACTACCGGTGGCTCTTCCGTCAAAGGATAATCAAGGCACAAGTTTAATTTTCGTTCAGCATGGCGAACGAATTGAGTGAAAACTATGTGCAATGTATACTCCGCTGGTGTTTTCAGGTAGGTTGCTAATTCCTTACGCATATAACTGAGTTCTTCGCCATTCGATAATGTTAGCCTTTTATTGGTAATAGTTGACAATGGTGGTGGAAGCTGTGGTGACTCCTTTGTATAATCATGAATTGGGAATTGGGACATGGGCGATGCTAATTGTTGGGATAACGATAAATTAGAATTGCTTGCATCTCCCTTTTTAATGTATTCTAACTCTCCTAGTTTGTCTTCTTCTTGATCATTTTCTGCATTTTTCAAGCTGTATTTGTCGTGAATTAATGGCGGATCTTGTAATTTGAAAGTCTCTTGGCCAGAATTATGTTGTTCAACAACATGCACTCTTGGTGTATCACTTGTCGGTGCACCTGTCATATTAATTTGGTTCATAAACAACGGCTGAGCGGTATTGTATTCAATTATTTGTGTATTAGTATCGTTCGATTCCTCGGACAATGCTAACGATGCCAACGAATTCAAACCCGGCACATATGAGAGATTATCGATACTTGAAACAATTGCATTCGGTACTGGTGGAGCATGCACATCACTATCTCCAACTCCATATGCTTCATTCCGATATTGAAATTGACGAAATTGCTGGCTATTTTCGTCTTGAATATGTGGGTCTTCTGAATTTTCATCTTCTTGATCTGGCATTGAACCTTTCAGAGATTCATACAACGCATATTTTTTAATTCCTGAGGATACATTATCGGTAGATTCGTCTTCTGTGTTCCTACGATAATCACCGGTAATATCACTTATGTTGCGGATGTGATGAGCTTGTTGTTGTTGTTGTGGCTGTTGTGATCTTTGCACCTGAGATTGATCTAGCGCATACTGGTAAGGAGACAGCTCATCTAAATCGGGGATCTCTATCATAATTTAGCTGTCCTTGTATGAAATGCTACCTGATCCTCTATTATTAGATTTTTTATGGATATATCAAAGATTCCGAAATATAGATCACTCCAATCAATTCTATTCAGCGTGTAATTTTTCTCGCACAATTCTTCCCTCAATTTAAATCGATGTAGAATGGAATTAGATGTGAATAACAAGGTATACCTGATGAATGATAGCTAACAACTAACGTCGATGTTCTTTAGTACGTCCTTAAGTAGATCTAAAAAAAATTGTATGGTTATCTTGGAGTTAGATAACTGTAAAGCTTTCAAAATTCAAAACACCATTTTACAGTTTAAAATTAATCGATAATTTGTAAGATCGAAGATCAAAAAAGACTAGAAGGTTTTCATTCGAATTACTATTTATCTTGATATATATATAGTACTTGAATATGCAGAGCCTGGAAAGCATACATGATATTGCTACGCTTATCAATCAGTTTATTGCAAGTGCAGATGATAGCGATGTTTGCATAAATTATAGTAAAGAGTTGGCAGAACTAATTGAAAAAGATGAAATGACTTTGTTAAAGTTTATACAGTCATTAGGGCCAAACCTAACTTCGGATAGTGATTTGATTAGACTGAAGTCAATTCAATGTATGTCGGAAAGTTTGAAGTGTTTGAACGTTAATAAACTATCAAAGCAGGATATTAATGTGCTATTCGAGTTTTTACTAGCTAAATTCGAGGACGTATTCTGTTTGATTCATATTCTATCGAGTTTGAATTCATTAATTCTGTTCAAGAATTTTATTTTTGGTATGAATAATAATGTGGAAAAGCTATTAACGAATATCTTGAATAACTATGATCCAAAGAAGCATTTGGCCAAGGTCAGATACGAGCCATTCAGAACTTTAAATGCATTAGCGACAATTGATCCTGTCTATTTTCAATCCTCTCCACGCGTGTCAGAGTTGTTGGTGAAGACATTTATTCATGTTGCAAGTGGCGAAAAAGACCCAAGAAATTTATTGTTGTCCTTTGATACCAATACGAAAATTAATGAAATTTTTGAATTCGATCCGTTAAATGAGGTCCATAAAGATCTCATAAGCGAATTATTTGATGTTTGCTTCTGCTATTTTCCAATATCGTTTAGTCCACCTCCCAACGACCCTTACAAAATTACGGCACAAGATTTAAAGTTGAAATTGAGAAATACTATTGCTTCGCAAAGTTATTTTGCTAAAGAATCTTTTGGTGACTTAATTGAAAAGCTTACTTCAACTAATCCAGTCATAAGGAACGATGTTTTAAAAACTTTGTTACTTTGTGTTGAGAATTACAAGTTAGAAACTGTTGCAGAATACTGGGTGACAATTTGGAGCGCATTGAAATTTGAGGTTTTACATAATGATGTTTCAATTTTTAAACCATACATTGATGTAATTATACCAGAAGATTATGATGAAGAAATTGATGATTCGGATGAATTTAAACCTTTGATCACAACGTTAGTTATAATAAAAAAATTGGCTAATAGAATGACAGATTTTGGTGAACTTGAAAACACGTTGACTACAATAACTAACGAGTTGAAAAGCAATCTTGTTACTATCAACGACAAATCGTTCAAGCAATCGGTATTGTTATTAAGTGTTTTGGCTTCCGACTCAAGTGCTGGATTCAATTTCATTATCATGTTTTTATTCTCGCAAGAAATTTGGGGTAAATATATTAATGCTGATGATGATTCTTCGATAGAGGAAGTTCCAAGTGAGCTTGATAAGACGGAAGACTTAGTTTTAAATACATCAAAACAAAAAGAGTTGATAGATAATTTGGGATTTGTCTTGACGTCATACAATGTCTTATTAAGCAATCTAGAGAATCAAGATGAGTTCATCGAGAACAATAATTTAAAATTATACAAAGACCATTTATTGATTTTTATGGGTCAATTATTGCAAACTTCCTCCAATTTGGAAAAAACCTTAAAGTGCAAAGTTATTCAGCAATTAATAAAATTAGCTCAATTAAAAGGCTTTCTAAATGCGCAAGAGTGTACGTTGATACTTGGCTACTTCAATGATATTTTGTTAGATACCGCCAATTCAAAATCAAAAAATTGGGAAAAGGATCAAGTTACAAAAGAAATTGTGAATGGATTGATTAAACTCATGAATAGCGAAGGAGCTTCGAATATTGATAAGACTACATTAGTCATAGATTTAATACTTCCACATTTGTTAGAAAAATTGCGTTCTACCGACTCATTGTCTAATTTCAAAAAGCTTCTAGAAATAATTGGAGAATTGTGTACGAATTACCAATTTTTAGAAGTTTTATCGATTAGACTATTGAATAGATTAACCAACTATGATCAATTCACCATTGATCAATTCGAAGTTTTTAGAAATATAACCAATTTGTTGGTGGAGTCGATTAAAAAGGTACAAGTATCGAAACAATTTTTGATGAATTCTTGGTATAAGAATTTTGTTCCGAGATTCATAAATTGTTTATTGGAAATTTTAAAAGTAAAAGATGATCATATTTTAATTGAGTTGTCTGGAGATTTAATTGGGCTAATTGTTAAATATAATGATAAATCGAAACATCAGGAGATTTTGAATGATTTCGTAGATATGTTTCTACTCGATAAAGCGAACGGATTCAATGTTAATGTGAATGTCATTCATCAACAGAGGCCATTAATTAACCTATTTAACAAAATCCTTGCGAATATCGATAAGACAGCCGAGGTTCTGCTTAACGATGTATTTACTATGAATCAATTAACAGACACAATAATCGGATTGTGTAATTCTAGAGGTGATGAATACTCACGGTTAGGTTATTTACAAAACTTATCACTTTTGGTTAATAAATTCTTGCAAAGCAATGAATTTATTGAAAAGAAATTACAATTAATATTTGAAAATATACTGAATATTTCCCAATCCGATTCAGTTTTATCTCAAGACCAAATAGAGGGCTTCGAGGTCATCGTTTGGATCCTCAAGTCGTTGATTTTAAGAATTGACATACTCGGTATTGAGTATATGAATAAGCTCATATCATTATTATCTTGCGAAAATAGGCAAATGCAACAACTAACTGCTAAATCATTTAATATTCTAATGATAGACTTACCAATTTTTACCAATCAGCAAATTGGTGGTAAAACTAAAATAATTTCAAGTGTTCAAAATTTGAATGTTAGATTATTATACAAGCAGAAAGTATTTGGGATTTTATTGCCAAAAATAATTGAAGGATATAATATATCGAATAACCGCAATAAAGAGAATTATTTAATTTCTTTATCTTTGATATTGAATAATGTACCACATAGCATATTAAAATCTTATTTAAGTGAAATTTTGCCCTTGATTTTAAATAGTCTTAACTTGCAAAACCCAATAATTTTGAATGCTTCGCTAGCAACATGTGAAATAATCATTGATGAATCTCCAGATTTGGTCATACCACATTTATCAACCTTAATTCCAAAATTAGTTGGCTTGTCAATAGGTAAAATTGTTGTTGAGAAAAGCTTGGTTAATAATGAAGAAGTGAGACTAATCTCGTTGAAGTGTTTACAAAAGATCTTTTCCAATATTGAATTAAAATATATCATACCATTTCAAAAGTCAGCTTTGAATAAATTGACACCGGGGTTGGATGATAAGAAAAGAACTGTCAGGAAATTATGTTGTGACGTGCGTCAAACCTTATACGAACTAGGCAAATATTAGAATTTATAGATTAAATACAATCTCGATTATTACTCGTTAAATTTATTAGTCTATTCACTATACATAATCATTATTCATCATCAGAATCATCCAATCCAACAGGCGCTAAACCAGGAGTTAAACCAGGATACGATATCACGCCCTTAGCGACCTTACTATTAAAATCTTTCGTTTTCTTATTTTGAATTCTCTTAGCTTTCTTATCATGTTTCTCTTTGTTGATTCTCAAGATGTCTTGCCTCACTTGATCTAATTCAGATTTGATTTCCATATCATCGATTTCAGACACTCTATTCAATGAGTTAACGTTCTTCTTGACGAGCTTCTTCAAATATTTCGTTTCTTCTTCTGACAATTCTCCTCCTGTTTTATGATGTTTAATAAGATGATATTTCGCCAACTTGTTGAATCTCTTCTCGTCTTCTAATGCTTTCTTTATTTTCTTATGTTGCTTTAATTTATTTTGCTTGTGGATTTTCTTGAGCTCTTCATTACTTAATTTATTCTTATTTTCAATTTCGATACTAAGTAACTCGGCTGATGACAAAGATTGTGATTGTTTCGAAGTGGTTCCCTGTGTTCCTGGTAATAAGCTGGAAAATAGCTTGTTCACAGTTGCCTCTGCATGAGACTTGGAGGACTTGGAATTAAACGACATAGTTACACAAGTATTCAAATAGACATCTTATAATCCTACCGTGAAGTAAAATTATTTTGCTTGAGATGATGGGGTCGTGTGATTCACCGTTTTTCTAATTATGCAACCGATTTCCTCAACGGTACTTAAACCTAGACTCTACTACTAAGTATTGCATCTCCTTCTTCTCTGCTTTTCTGTTTCTCCTGTTTCTCATGTTTATCCTATTTCTCTTGTTTCTCTTGTTTCTCTTGTTTCTCCTGTTTCTCTTGTTTCTCTTACATCAGATACTTTCTTCTATCTGTACCTTAGCTCCGTTGGTTTGATTTATTATTCATTCTTGATTGTTGATTCGCTTATAGGTAATCCTCAGTAGTTTTTCGAAATGTCATATAATCGGCCGCTCTCTCAACTCTTACTGGTCGATCTATCAAATAATTTATTTTTTCTAGCTTATGCAAGTGAATATTTGCCTGAATAACAAAACGAACTTATTATGTTACCCTGAGGTCTCCATGTCCTACTACAGATATATATGTATGTCTGATCTAATCTCCTCAACTCAATTCTTAAGTGTTTGGTACGAATAATCAATGCAGTGGTTCAGTTGTATAGATTAATTCAAAAAAA